AAAATTGATCCTTTCATGTTTTATGAAAACGTATGTTGAAATTCCTAGATCAGACTTCTACTGTTATGATCTACATCCACAGTCAAAACAGACTGTTCTGCAAAACCTCTAAATGGCAATAAGTCAAAACACTTCAGATGGGCTTATAATTTAGTAGAGGGAATGCTGTGTTGTGTCATGTTAATAGGCTAAGCCTGCCCTGTATCAGAGAAGGCGAAACTTGTCCCTTGCCTGGATCTGCTTACTTGGTGCTCACATCCCACAAGAGTAATATGGATTTGGTTGCAGACTGCTCGGGACACAGCCTGAAAATTAATCTGAAAATCCCAAATCTTTGGTTTTAGGCAGGTCTTTGCCCTGGCTCACTGTGCAGCCCCACAAGCACCAGCTGGCACAGGGCACGGAGCAGGAACATGTGAGAGCCAGTTGCAGCAGCAGCTCAGGGCTGTTACACCAACACAGTTTTCCCACTGTGAGAGAGGAAGCAGGAGGGAGCTGTGAATGAGAACAGGTTGGATAAGATCAGATGTTCTGAGGAGGCGAAGGGAAATGATGCCATCCAGTCTCCCAAAGGCTTGCTGAAAACGTGGTACAGGACAAAAGCAGTGCAGTCTGCAAGCAGTCATCTGTGAGAGGAACAGAGTATTTTCACGTGCTTTGGGAAGCCAGACTAGTGAAGTATTCCTGTAAGAGTGCATTTTCTCTGTTGTGTAAATAATTTAGCAGTGTCGGTGTTTTGTCTTTAGGCATCAGCATTCCATAAAGTAGTCATCAGTAATACAAGTGGATATGAGGAAACAATAAAACTTTTTGGGTCAGGGGATGTAAACTCACACAGAAGAGGAACAACAAAAAAGAAAAAAAAAGTTATTTTGAGCTTTTGTGCTGAGATGAAAGTCTTCTACAGCAGGCCTTCAGTCTCCTGAACCTTGACCAAGTCTCTACTACTTGACCAAGCAGAAGACAAGCAAAGTTTTATTGTTCACGCATGGGAGCCTTTTGGCTTTCTAAAATAATCTGCGTTACCCTTACACAGTGTAATCTCATTTGACTGCCTCCTTCCCCCTGTCCTGGGCAGGGCTGGATGTCCACAAAGTCTGTAGAGAAACAACGTTCATACTGGTGAAGCTCTGTGTCTGCAAGACTGGCTATAATGGGCAAAAATTAAAAAGAAATTTCAAGTAATTTTGATTTGTAATCGAGATTCTTTTTCAAACAGTGAGGTAATAAGTAAATTCTGGTGTAAGCTTCATCCTTTGTGAGACTTTTGCTTCTTTACCTTCTTGACTCTGGCACTCTTGTGAGAGTCAGGGGAGGACCAGAGTGCCTGGCAGCCTTCCCCCTTGCAAGTCTCCTGCACTCATTTAGATCTCTCTGCTAAACTCTGTAAGGAGGAAGGAGAGCACAGCTCCTTTGATGATCTTGATCTAAAAAGCAAGTTGTCATCTAAAGTAAAAGAGAGAGACTGCAGTGGATGAAAGAGAAGCAATATGCTGATTTTCTGGTCTAGCAGTGCTGTTATTCTACCTGTGTCCCAAGCCCATACACAAATAATTGAGAATTTGCTGTCTTAATGGTTGTTGAGTTTTTTTATTGTACCTCTGTGGCTCTGTGGGTGAATGTAAAAAGGGTTTTGTACATGTATATTTGTATATTTGGTAGACACTGCACAGCTAAAACCTCTTTCAATTTTCTCGCTAATTTATTTTTAATTTTGTAGCCCCCCCAGGGGTAAATCCTTATTACAAGATGTAAAACCATCTCTTCTACAAAGCAGCTTATTTGTTGATTTTTTTTATTCAAGCCAGCAGATGCAAAGCTGTAAATTTTTTCCACACACTGAAACCTCCTTTGTGTATATAGCTGTTAAGTGTGTCTCACTGCAAGATTAGTAAAAAAATTAAAACTTAAAATATCATTCTAGAAAGAGCAAGAAGAGAAGGTTTTTATTTCTTTGCAATAAGACTATGCTAGACTTCTGAATCTTGAAACATTCTTAACAGGCAACTTACTTTTAAATCTACATGACATTTGGATTAGACTGAATATGAAGACTTACATTTTCAGAAGCTTAAGTGCTGAAAGAAGTTGAGGGTTGTTTTTTGAAGGAAGACCTCCATGAAAAGAAGGCAGTGTCTAAAGACAGCATTGCTGTGTGCACTTACATAAATGCATGTTCACTGGCATCAATATGTGCTTTGTCTCACGGGAAATGTTGCCCTTAAGCTAACCTGCACACTTTATGGTTCAATATTTGTTTATATGACTGGCTGAAACTCCTAGTCACAGATGTATTGCAGTAATAACAAAAAGACATGATCTGAAATAATCTCTCTTCCTACTGTATCTTATTCTAATCAATTCATGTTTTAAAAAAAGTTGAAAAAACCCCTTTAAAATGCTTTACCAGCTGGTTCCGGTGTAGACATCTACATTTGGTCCTTCTGGTCTACTATGCTGACAACTCAAAAGACATGACTAATTAGTTTGCTTTGAGTTGTCATCAAGGGACATATACTTTGAAAAACTCAGATTGTCTCTTTTTGCTTTGTTTTTAATAATGTGTGATGGTTGTGTTCCCATAATTGTTTTTACACAAAGGCAATGTTTATTTCTATTCAGGATGTGAGTCTTAGAATAAAGCTCTTGATTCTCTCTGTTTCTCCTTTTAGTCTTCACAAGTCAAGGCTTCCCACTTATCTCCTTAACTCCAATTTCCATTCTCTTTGTTTTTCTGAATTCACTGAGTTTTCAATCTGTGATTGATGTTCAGAGGTCCTGTACTGCTGGCAGCCCCACACTTTCTCCAAGTTATCTTCCACTGTTGCCTTTTATCAGGTGTTTTTTGCTAGAATGGGACATTTGAGTATGGTGATTTCATTTCAGCCACCTGTCAAAACCAGGACTCCACTGCCTCTGCCTTGATCTGTCCATAGCATTGGACTGACAGTCACTGCAGATGGTCATCTTCCTACTGCCTATCTCCCCAGAAGATCTCCCACTTTGGAAGTGATTCCTGAGCTTTTTGCTCTGCCCAGCATTCTCAGCAGAAACTGCTTTTTTCCAGTTTGGAATATCTCAGAGATCTAAATCAAAGATAAGTTACCATGTAGCAAATATTTTTCTTATTTTCATCAAGAGAAAAGAAAGAATCAAGAAAGCAAAAAGAGAGAACTGTGTGTGCCAGTTTAAATTGTAGAAGAGTTAATTCCCATCCCTGGAAACTGTAACTTTACCCATTAGCCAGAAGTCATAGCCTTACATTTCTTTTTAAAGCTGACTTAGTTGGCCACATCTGAGCAATACGGTGATCTGTGGCTGGAAATTGAAGAAAGCACTGGCAAACCAAAGGCACCAAGAGGTCTTCACTTGTGTCCACAGTCCTGGCTCAGACAACCTACTGCCAGTGCAGTCCTTGAGCCTGCTGCTTCTCTCTGTTTTTGTAGGTACCATCAAGGTCCTACAGTAACAAAAAGAGATTCAGATGGGATTTCCACTGTTGGAATAGAGACTGCAGTTTGATGTCTTGGATTTTTTTGGCTTTATCTTTACAATTAAAATGAAAAATCACTCTGCAACGTTAACACATCTTTCCACTGCATTGTTGTTTTCCAGTTGATGCTTTAAAGGCGTTGTCTGGGCAGCATAAAAACTTGAGATACAGTTTCAATACCTCTAAAGGATTTATCTTACAATATCTGTAAAGGACTTGGTTTACACTGATTTCAGTATAAATTAGGACACCTAATCTCAAATTCCCTTTAAAAACCTCTTCCTAAATAAATTTTTTAAGTATTGGAAATAATACTACATGCTCAAATCATCATAAAAGTACATAAATGTAGTCATAATTATGTCTGAAGGATAGGATTTAGTAAGTGTAACAGGGAAGTGTGGTATGATCAAATGTATTTACACATTATCCATTGTCTTAAGTGTTACTCTACTCACCACCTTGTTTTTGCTATTTTTCTGCTGCTTACTGAAAGAAAGAAAGAGGAGAAGGGGGGGAGGCAAGGAAGGAGGAGAAGGAGGAAGGAAAGGGAAAGAAAACTTTTAGCATTTTCAGTTTTGCACTCAATGTCATTATTGCTGTAACAAATAATTAGGCTGTTGCCTAATAATATCCCACTGAAAGAGTATTTGTGTGAACACCTGTTAATGAACAAACATTAAATTATTCAGATGCTTCCTTCAGGTAAACACCCATTCAAATCACTCATCAGGGCCAAGCTTTAACAGCTATGATTTTTGAATTAACTTTTGAAGTAGTTATCTGTTTTACTGTAGTTGAGTCTTACAAGATCTGAGACACCTGTGCTATAGAGAGCCTGCTGTTTCTGCCATGGTATAGCAGCCCATATATCACCATGTCCATTTGAACCAGAGAGTGAACACACTTGAGATGGAGGAAAATGATGAAGGAGAATAGGGAAGCCTGAGCAAGTTTTGGTGGCAATTGACAATTATGATCCTTTTCTTTTGTGTTTTCCATCACCCATTTTGATGATCATGGGCACTTAGAAAAGCTACAGCAATATGAAAAAATCTCAGAATAGTGGGGCTTGCTTTGAAAGTTTCAAGACCGTTCAAATATAATTTCTAGTACTCTGGCAGTACAAGTAAACCCTACTTAGATTCCTTTTTAGGCTACAGACTCTGAAAGTCCTCCAGTCATACAGTGTTCAGTCACAGCCTGCCCCTTTCACAGTGAAGTCTCATCATGTGTGGAACTTTATAAAAAGTATAATTGCTCTATTCTTTAGCACTTTATATGTGCACATATATGTATATATATTACTTTGCCAAGCTGGCTCTTTTAATATCTGCTAGGCAAATAAAGTGTGTTAGTTTTCACTGCCTTGCAGTGCCTCTTTGTATATGGTGGCTTTCAACAGCTTAGTGTAAATGCAAAAGATCTAGATAATTTTTTTGGACAAATAAGTATTTGGGGCATGTAAACCTAACTCTTACATAGTTGTTCTTGTTTACTTCCACAGGAGAAGAAAACTTGCTGGCAATTTTGAAGAGGAGATGGTGGAAGTACATGATCCTGGGGATAATAGATATAGAAGCCAACTACCTGGTAGTCAAAGCTTATCAATACACGACTCTTACCAGTGTACAGGTAAGTACTCAAAGGATTTCCTCTTTTGAGGTAAGATAATAGGTCCAGTGGGGTCAGTGGTGTAGTATCCATTGGCTTCAGTGAACTAATAGCTAATTGCTGCCTCTGACTTCTGTGTACTTTTTAATGCTGACTTGTAAGGAACATTTTTGTCATATTGGACTATTTTTATTGATCAGTATTTTCCAAACTGTACAAAAACATTCTGACTTTCATTTTATTACTCTGTGCTAAACCATTCATAATCACATTTTTGCCATTACCTACATAATTTAATCCTTTGAGGAAATAATTTCAAACTGGCTGAAATATTTTTCTCACTTTGTATTGTACTTGGAGAAAATTCAAGCACACTTCTTTAAGGATTCCTTAATTAGATCTGAGTTTCTAAAGGTCTAGCGTGAGCTGACGCTATCTGAACACCAGGTGTCCACCAAAGCCACTCTATTACTCTCCTCCACAGCTGAACCAGGGGAGATGGAATATAAGGGAAGTTTTGTGGGTCAAGGTAATGACAGGGACAGATTACTCACTAGTTACCATCACAAGCAAAACAATCACAACTCGAGCAAATCAGTCAAATCGATTACCAGTCAAATCAACTCCAGTGTGGGATCCCTCCAAGAGGAGACACTTCTCTACCAACTTCTCCACTCTAAGTCCTTTCTACAGGCTGTGGCTCTTCACAAGCTGCCCCAGCACAGGTCCCTTTCCCAGGGTGCAGCCCTTCAGGAACCATCAGTTTCAGAGTGGGTCCCCTCCAGGGTTACAAGTCGTGATAGCAAACTTCCTCCAGCATGGGATTCTTTTTCCATGGGTCCACAGGTCCTGCCAGCAGCCTGCTCTAACACAGGGTTTCCATGGGATCACAGCCTCCTTTGGGCAGTGCTCCAGCACAGGGTTCTGCACAGCCTGCAGGTGAATCTCTGCTCCACCATGAACCTCCATGGGCTGCAGAGGGACATTCTGTCTCAGCATGGTCTGCACCACGGGTTGCAGGGGAATCTCTGCTCTGGCACATGGAGCACCTCCTCCCTTTCCTTCTGCACTGCACTTGGTGTCTGCAGTTGCTACTCTCACATGTTCTCACTCCTCTCTCCAGCTGCAGTCTCTGTTGAACAGGGTTACTTTTTTTTCTCCCTGCTTACCTGTGTTATCCCAGAGGTGCTACCACTGTCACTGATGGGCTCAGCCTTGGCAGCAGCAGGTCCATCTTGGAGACAACTGGCATTGGCTCTGTCAGCTTCTAGCTGCTTCTCAGAGAAGCCACCATGCAGCCCCCACTGCTGTCACTGCTGTCACAGCCTTGCCAAGCAAACCAAATAGAAGATGTTCAGGATCCTGTAATTAGATCAGAGTGCAAAAGTTGTCATTAAGTAAAATGAATGCAGTTTTTATGAAGAAGTCTGACTTCAGTGCAAGCCGTTAGATGTGTTATATAACAGCTCAACTGCAGCTATCAAAAAGTATAATCCCTGCTAAAAAATTATATGTGCAGTGGGCAAAAGCTAGGGTACCGATTTCTTCAAAGATGCAATCTGGATATTTTATATATAAAACCACAAAAGAATTTAAGTGGAAAAGTGAATAATAGAAATTCAAAGATGCAATCTGGATATTTTATATATAAAACCACAAAAGAATCAGGCTCCTTCAATTTAAGTGGAAATGTGAATAATAGAAACATTTTTAAGATTCTGGAAATTGTCTGTCTTGAAAGAAATCATTGAATACTTAATTGCTACTTGTTCTAAAACAAGTCTAGTGCCTCTTTACATTATTTTTAAATAACTGAGTAACACTAGGTAGTGTTCAATGTATTCTACACCTTACTTACCCGAAGTTTGCATTGGCATTAATAAAATAAAGGAGTGCCAGTTAATGTTTTGCAGAATCAAAGCTAATTAAGAGTATATTTCTTCCATAGCTGAAAATCAGTGTTGGAAAATCCTGAGCTTCTTTAGCTGAATAAGAAGCAAATATAGAAGAAAACTATGAATTCAAGGAATCTGAATGTGAGGTTTATGCTAAATATTCACAAGTGCCTCTGGCATCAGAATCCCGGTTTGAGAATTCATTGAATCATGCCCAGACAATGTAATATTGTTTTTAACACTTTTCCAAATCTGATTACTTAGTATAGAATAAAGCTTAAATCCACATAAATCTCATATTCTCTGATTTTACTGCCACTAAAAGCCTCAAAGAGAAAAGCAAACTGAATTGCTTCTTTTGTGTGATTCACTCATAGCAAGTATAAATAGAGGCCTGAGCAGGATGATTCAGGTCATTAAATCCCATCTCCCAAAGCCACCAACAAGCACGTGCCAAAGGTTCATCTGGCCAGACCTGTGACCCCCCCCACTTCCAGAAGATGCAGATCCTCGAGCCAGCAATGCAATGAGCATGGCCTTTAGTGTATTGTGTCAACAGATCAAAAGTTACAGTGTGATAGGAAAGCGGGCAGGAGAGTTCAAGGGCACTGCCTGTGACTCGACAGGGAATTGGTTAGCTGAAATCATCCGTGTTCTCCTTTTAAACTGAGAGGGAGAGAGAGGAGTGCTGGATCAGGAGAGTTGTCAGAGGGCACAGACAATGTCATGTCCATTTTTAGACCTCTTCCACATCAAAATTACAACAGAGCTCAGGTTTCTTTCCCATGTAGCTTGAAAGAAGGAACAGGTAGGAATTCAAATGTTATCAAGCTTTTTTCCAGGCATGGAGTGAATACAGGGTCACCTTTTCCCATAGCTGTCCTTATTTGCTGGGATACATGTGGAGTGACTGGGAATACCTACTGCATTTTAAATTCATTTCATGCCCTAATATGAATGAGCTTCTTAAGAGACAAGCCCAAAAATACGATGACAATGGGACAAGTATGAGGTAATGCATTAAGATGTTGAATCAAATGACACATTTTCTGAAATGTAGCCAAACAACCTATTTCATTTAAAGATGAAACAGAAGCAGCTCAGGGAATTATTCATCATTGGTCTAAGTGTGTTGTTGTATGAAATGAAGACTGCAAAAGTGAAAAACAGAAGATGAAGAAAAGAAAACTTTTCCTAGAATTTGATTTTTGAGGACAGAAAGGACTCTCAAGAGAAAGGATCTCTGTCCTGGAAGGCCTGATCCTGCAGGAGCTCTACCTGGGAGGCCATAAATGCTTGCTGGCACACAGCAAAAAATGTTCAAATTCTTTCAGAACTGAGACCCAAGAAGCTATTGCTACCTGCCACAAATCAGCATGGCTTTGACTGAAAGCTGTGGGAGCTATGCCTGTGTACACACTAGGCTGAGAATTGAGCCCTTCAAGTCAATTCTGGGGGATTTTATACTCAACAGTATGTACATCAAGGCTTTTTTGATGGAGAAAATAAATTTCAAGAGTTTTTGAAATTGTCACTTGAGTAAATGAGAAATTTTGGAGTATTTTTATAGTGGTGGTACATGGACCATTTTGGTAGGATGTCAGTTTTACAGCATGTCCTTTTTTCCACATGACATCTCTGCTCTGTCATGCAAAACTAACATGCAAGTGTGCAGTGCTGTGGTGCTTTTAGCCAAAAAAAACATTACACTGGTCTCAGCAGAAAGCCAAAGCTTAACAGTAAAAATACACTTTTATTGCAAATGCTTTGATTTCAGCTTCACCATAAAACTCTTAACATTCAACAGCTTTGCTTGACAAGTACCTTTAAACTCTTAGGACTGTCAGAGTTTCTAGTTTTTACTCTCTCCTTTTGTTTTTTAATATTTGATATTATTTCATCATGGTTCCATGAAAAGACTAAAAATGGTGCCCTACTTTTGTTCAGTGTTTCACACCCAAATTTTCCTATATTTTAAGATTCTCTTTTGGCTTTGATCTGGGAAAACAGGATTTTCTAATAAACCTTCCTACATATCTTTCTCCAAATGCCTTCAGAATCACAGTGAATGAGAACACATAGGCACAAATCAGAAATGAATGTGTTACCTAACCTTTACTTTTGGACATGCTTCTGATTATTTCAAATCTTCTTGTACTCTATAATTACTATTGGAGAATGTGGCAGTCAGTTTCATCATAAGATGAAAGCAAAGTACTGTGAAGCCCAGAACACATAATTTTCCTCTTTAAAAAAAACTCAACAAACAACTAAAATACCTCCCTTACAAATTAGGTGATGTAGAATTTAGATTGAAAATCAATGAACTATTTATGTTTCAGTCATTTCAGTGTAGGTCATTTGCTAAGGATAAAGCCCAAGATTCCCCTTGTAGGCACCAGCAGTGCAATCCAAAGACAACTCTGTTCAATGGAGCAATGCAAGAAACTCACATCTAATTGTCTACAAATATAAAATGTCATCTATTATCCCTTCCCTCGCTGCTCAGAGCATGATCTTGGGGCATGAAAACATGTTTTAGCCTATCAGGTTGCTTGTTCTTTGGTAGCTTTAAGCTCTGGCTCTTTGCATGCCCAGAGTGGTTCTGTATTGATGCAGATAGATGCCTAAATACCTACCTCCACTAAAAACCCAAAAGCTAAGTATTGCTACATCAAAGTACACCAAGGAACTCAATTTGTTAGATATGATCTTAGCACGCCCCAAGTGCTTGCAGAAAGCTTGGAGTGCTTTCCAAACTGTAAGTGTGGAGCCACCTTTTTCATTAAGTCACAGCTTTTAAAGCAGTGGCCCACAGAAAGGGCTTGACTTAATTCCATCTCAGCTGAGGGCACAGCAATTCAAGCTTTCTGTGGCCATGAAAATGCTCAGGCTAGTAATGAAAACTGTTTCCTAGAGGGTACTCTTAAAAACCTGAGTCAAGTAAGACACAAGAGTTTATAAGTGGATCAATTCGATATCCAAACCCATTTATTTTGAGAAGTACCAGAAATCAGTCACACTTAATGTTATCAGACATAGGTGTGTGGATTCCCAGATGGCTCAAACTTGTGAAATGATCTTTAGTTTCTGTTTGTTGTCTTACTTTGACTTGCAGTACATTTT